ATTTAGGTACGCCGTGAGCACAAATAACGCGGTGTACGGCTCCGATGCGTCAAACCACCCAGCTGCGAAAAGCAACATTTGTCCTACGGTTGCTGGCACCAGTGCGACAAAGAACAGAAGGTAGCAACGTCTAAATTGCCTCTCGCGCTCTCTAAAACTGAGGTGGTTGATCATTGCGCGAAAAGCCAGCTGAACGATTAATTGTGCCATAACAAAGAGGAAAAACACCCCTGTGGCTGTCGCGTAGAGCGCAGCTGGGGGAGAGTGGCCGCGCAGAAAGCGCGGCCGCCAGTACAAGTAGTACGAGCAACCGTTGAGGATACAGAGCACAACCACGGCCAACGCAAGCCAGCTCATGCGCCGGGACAAACCCCCGTAGTGGATGCGAAGTTGCGCTCCTTTTGGACTGTTGGGCGTCTGCGTCCCGCGGTCAACCATTTTGATGCCCTGTGGCGAATTGTGTGCAGGTGTGGAACAGAAAACAGGTGATGGCATGCGCGCACGCGGGGATAAGCAGCGTTTGCTGCTGGTTCGCATCCACGACAGAGAAATTCGTTCGCGTGAGTCTGCGCGCGGAAGTGGAAGAAAACAAAACAAGGAAACAAATAAAAAAAAAGTTACCCCTCCAATTACGCTTGCGTTTCCCACATTCGCGCCCTCCTACCGTACAGCTCAACTCCACCCCCCCGTCCACTATTTTTCTCCCGCTCACGCGTGGAGGTTTCGGGCGGCACATGTGGCGGGCATCCCACACAGCAGCGGCAACCTGCGACCGACGTAGTCGAGCCCCCTCCGCAATGAATCGAGCACGCGCACGGCGTTGTCCCTTTCGACGCAGCGTTGGTGCAATTCCTGACGTGCCTGCTGTAGTTGCCGCTCCATCTCCGATCTTTCTAACGATAACTCGTCAAATTCCCTGTGAAGCAGCTGGTGCCGCTTTTCTAGGTTGCCGTAGTGTTCCCGACTGACAGAGTTCAAGGGACACGACGCCGTCATCAGGGTGTTGTTTAGTCTATGCCTGAGCTCTTGGCATTCCGTGCGCCAGTGCTCTGCCTCTATTCCTGACTCCCGGTGACGCCGCTGCAAGAAGGCGTTCTCCTCCGACAACTGCTGGATGAGACGCTCCTGGTCCCGCAGCATCGGGCCCTGGTCGCGGTAGAGTTCTGCCTCGTGTTGTTGCATCTCCCTCTCCAAGCGATGCGGTCCGCCCTGGTGTTGAACACGGTGATGTCTAAGTCGGTACTGATGCGCCTGTTCGTGCCAAATCAGTTTCTGCTCCATCGCGGTCATCGCCTCACGCAGCGCAGCCACCTCTCTCTCGTGTTGGCTGTGCTCCAGCTGCAGAAGAAGTTGCGTCTCTCGTGATCTATCCTCCAGCTGTGTGTGTTCTGCCAACGACGTGCCTGGGGCAGCGCGGCCATGCAAGAGGTCGGCCTCGACGTGGCGTTGTCTGTCGGCGTCCGCGATGGACTCCATGGCTGCTGTCGTCCCCGCACCTCCCAGCGTCTGTAACTCATGCTTCCGTGGCTCTCCGCCGTGTCGCTCGCACGGAGTCAAGGCCTCATCTCTCGTCAATGCGCTTAACGCCAACCGGGCAACATTCTCATCCACGAAGAAGGCGTATTGAAAGGTGCACGCTCGTGCGAGGCCACGAAGCATTTCAAAAAAGAGCTCGGAGTCAATTTCACCAAAGAGGTGACTGTACAGTGCCATCCAGCGGCTCAGCCTGGTACGGTCACTCAGCTCGCAGAGGCTCAGAAGCAGGTAGCAGTAGGCGCGGGCGCGCGACGGGTCCCTAGACACGACGTAGTAGTGCCGTGGGCGCGCGGTGTGGGGAACGTCAGGGTAGACGTCATCCACCACAAAGCGGAAGAGGTGCCCCTGCTCCGCAACACTCTCCGTTGACCCCATGCTCTCCACGGGAGGATGCATGCTTGACCGCCTGTTTAGGCATACACATCGTAACCATTGCGTTAAACGCGGGCGCAGGAACAACAACAACAGAAACACCAAAGAAGTAGAAGAAAAAGGCGGAGAATAATAACAACAACAACAACGGCAACAACATATCAATTTTGAACAATAGAGAGAGGGAGAAAGGGGGAAAAAAAACGCGCGATTTCTGCAGCTGTTAAAAAGGCATGCTGAAGAAGATGATAGAATAGTGCGAAGGAGGAAAACTAATAGCATTAACCGCAGTGAGTGTGTGCCTCATCCATCCACACGTTCGTGGCCCCTTGCGCCAGCAGCAGTAAGAACAGGGGCGCTAAGCTCCTCTTTACACGCCTTTTCGGGCGGCCGCAGCATTGCAATAGTGACCCCATAGCGGGCCTGCTCAAGCGCCTGCAGCTCTTTTGTAAGCTCCGGCTCCGTGGGAGACGGATTTTCGGCCAGAGGTTGAACCTCCCCAGCTGTGGCGTAGTGCGTCAAGCGTACCCCCAGCTGTCGACCGCCACCCCTTTCGTAGTAGGCCTCACGGCTGCCGAGGAAGGTCCAGGGAAGTGGGTGCATATCAACGTCCACAATATCCGGAAAATATGGCACGGTGTACGGCTTCATGAGGAATGCAAGCGGCCGGTCGGATTCATACCGACCCTTGTTCGACGCCCGCCGCACACCCACGTTGGGGCGACGGAAGAACATGTCTGCCCGGGGACAAACAAAATGGGCCTGTGTAAGATATGGATTGTGTGGGTCCTCGGGGCACCGCATAATGTTCGACTTTGGGTGCTTCGTCGGTATCACATTCGCTGGCCAAACAAGTGGGTTGCGCCACGGACTGGTCTGCCTGACGTACTTCATCATGGCAGTGTTTGTCACCTTCTTGCAGAGGGAACCAAAGGCCACCTCTCGCTCAGGATCCGGCACGGCATTGAAACGCAGAGACAAAGGCGCCTCCACCACTGCCGTGGACTCCCATTCGCCACCTGCACTCTGGTCGTCGCCGCGGCTACGACTACTGTCGGGCGTCGCCAGAGAGGGTTGTGGTTCTCCCACGTTGCCGTCTCTAGCAGCGTTGCTCTCTGTCGCTTCCACCACACCTCCTCCTCCTTCTTCTGCGGCACTTTCTTGTCGTAACCCCGCGTCCCATGTCATTAGTTCCTCCTGAAGCTGCGTGGGAGGCAGGTTCAACTGGCGCACTGTGCCCAGCTCTCGTTGCGAGAGCAGCCGCTCGGAAAGCCTTTTCGCCTCCGTCAGCGTGAGGCGCTCGGTTGGGATGGCGTGCATGCAGTTCATCACCATGTCAAAGCGCAGTGCGTCAATGCCGCCCATATGGTACGCGCTGGTGACAAGCACAGGATGCATGATGTCGTGAAAGAGCAGCTCCTTCCGAACATCCTCGAGGCGAATCGCCTCCTTCGACGCCGTCGTATCGAGCTGGTCGCCTTTTGTCAGCACAATTGTGAAGTTCGGCACCTCTTTTGAAAGAAACCGTAGGACGTCAATGTCTTGGATGTAGACACCGTGTTTGTAGTGCACATCCATGCAGTAGTACAGCATCTTCAAACTTGGTCGGTACTGCACAAAGTTGCGAAGCAGCACGGCATGCTGCAGGACGGTCGACCACGGGACGGAGGTGCCGCCGAAGCCCGGCAGGTCCACCACGTTGAACACACCGCCGCCGACGTTAAAAAAGTTCATTGCGTCACGACGCAACTTGACGTTGGAGCGCCCCACCTCGCGGGACGCACGGAAGAGGGACCGCAGCAACGACGTCTTGCCAACGTTCCCACGCCCCGCGAGGGCAACCTCCGGCATCGCAGGGTTGCCGTCTGGCACAAATGAGATGTTCGTCGCACAGCAGACATGTTTGTGTCCTCGGCTAAATATTTCATTGGCAAGTTGGGCCATCACAACGTCGCGGCCATTCAAAGTGGGGCTGCTCATGGCGAACTTCTGCGCTTCCTCGTGCGCGGCAATCATCTTTGCTCGCTCCCGTCGGCGCTTTCTCATCCGGTCCATCCAGACTTGCCGCTGCAGCTTCTTTGGCCTGCGTAGGTTTTTTGTGGTTAACTGCCGTGTGACAGTCGACTCTGTGAGAGACGGCAGCGAGGCCGCGCCAGCTTCCCGCTGCAAGAGTCGCAGCGTCCACCACATATGAGGCAAACCAACTAGGCTGGTGAGTACAGAGGGGCCCAGACGAAAAAAAAAAGAAGAAATAAGAAGAGAAATCCTTGCGGCATGGCGCGCCAGCATGCGCAAATCGCGTTCACGTCTCGTTGTGTGGCTGTGAGGAGGTGATAGATAGAGAGAGAGGAAGAGAGAGAGAGAGAGACTGACTACGTGGCCCACCCTCCCCCACTCCCTCCCTCTTCCACACACACACCGACGCAAATAGAAGACAACTAACTCGTCCAGTGAAACAAATTAGGTTTCGTACATCAACGCATGTTCTTTATGTACATCGCAGTCTTCTGCAACGTGGCAGATGAGTTCAGAGGGCGCCAGAGAAGATGTAGCTGCGGTCATCCCATCGGCGCAGCCCATTGCTGTAGCGCAGGTGAAACGGGTCGGGAGACTTCCCGGGGGTGTTCATCCATGGGTCGATCCGCTCCATCCACGCAATCAGAGCGGCGTCATCCACAAACGCGGAGAAGGAAGGAAGCATCTCCTTGCTGTCTTCCTCAAAGACACCGATTGCCGCAGG